TACCCCCCCCCCCCATCTTCTTGTTGTGATGATCTATTTCCAGCCTTGGCCGGTCTGGGTCATGGGTGTGTGCACATACACCTGATGTATACCAGGAGGTCCTAGGACATGAACCAAAGACCTTCCAGTGTGGGTTCAATTGCACTACTCCTTTACCACCAACTCACCTCCTGCCAGTTTTATTTGAACATCCTCTCCCCTGAATCAGGTGTGTGCACTCACCAGAGAGAGACACTGACAGGGAAAGCAAGAAATCATTCCCCAGATGGGATGGCCATGGTGCAATCCTTTTCCATTATCCTCTCTTCTGGGGGTTTTGGGCATGCACACACATGTGCCAGAATGATCCTTAAGCCACCAGGTCTGGGACTCGAACATAGTCAGCCATGTAGGAGTCCAGCAACTTAACCAATATACAACCTGCTGGCCCCTGAACACTTCTTTAATATCAGTAGAAATGTGATGTTGGAATCCTTTTGAATAATTTTCTAATAAATAAAATTAAAATGTATTTTAAAAAAATTAAGCCCATCATGATCCTGTAAGTTTTAAATGAAGCTGTAAAGACGGGTACTTGGGGGCCAGCAGGTCATGTGATGAGTAAGGTGCTGGATACCACATAACTACTGACTCCAGTTTGAATCCCAGATCCAACAACTTGAGAAAAATATTGGGTGCATGTGCATGCCCAAAATCCCAAGAGAAGAATGGGAAGAAGGGATTGCAGCATGGCCATACACCCGGAGGGGTGATTTTTCACTCTTCCTCTCTCCCTTTGTCTCCAGCAAGCACACATACCCTATGGTAAAAATCTAAAAACAAAACAAAAAAAAAACAATAACAACAACAACAACAAAAAAACGACAAGTACTTTGAAAGTCCAATGCATGCCTGCCAGATTCCAGGGTCTTCCACAGTACAAAACCCAGAATTTCTCTATTCTCACTATATTAATCTATTCTTTAACCTTCAAAGAACAGGAAAAGGGGGGAAAATCAATTCACCCAGTAAGAGACCAAGTAGAATCTCTACTAACCATTCGTTGGTCCTTACCACTTGTTTGGTGAAGTTCCCATCATATAGCCTTGAAAAATTTTAACTGATTGAGTCTTCTTTTTTTCTTCCCCCCCCTACCCCCAGCAGTGCCAATGAATTCTCTAATCCAGGAGCTCAGGTAAGATTTGTTATACTTTTTTTTAAATGTATTGACTTGTTTTATTAGAATGATTTGTACTTTTCGAGCCTCATAATTCTTGTTTGAGGATGAGGAATAAGCCATGGGCTATATTTAACCTTGACTCCATGTATACACCAAAAAAGCACAAGAGAAAAACTACTGATAATTGATCAGAATAATTCAATCTAAAATTCTGATAATAAAACACAATAGTGTGTTGCTGTAATGGGAGTTATTTCTCACCTCTCCCCACAGAGTATGTACAGCATCTTCTTCCCACTCTTCAGGGCTGAGTTATAGACTGATGGCCAGTGCAGAGCTGAGCTGTCACCCATGACCCTGATTGATAGATGACCTGATCTTAAGTTACCCACTTTTTGCTTTAAATAATTAGGTAATTTCCTCGGGTCACCACAATATTTTTTAACCTAGACATGGGAAGAGAATGTGACTGGTAGGTTTTGTGGGTGGGTTGATACATGTCCACCTTAGATACTATAACTGCACTACAGGCAATATAAGGAACAACCAGACCATGCCATTTGATACAAAGTGTATGAATACAGAAGATTCGATGCTAAGTGAAGTAAACCAAATTATGGAAGACCAACACTGTATATCCCCACTCAATATATACTGAATGTCTGCAATGTACAGTAGAAATTGAAAAATCTGAAGACATAATAGTAGGGAGAACTAGTGTAGATACCAGAGTCTGTAAGGGGAGGAGAGTGAGTGGTAGAATGTGGATGAGAAGGCAAAAGGAAAGAAATCTTAACAGACACAAGAATGTAAAGATCGCTATTGAAAGTGATGTATGTGGTAATAGCCTTGATTTGATTGTCTTATACCACATGCATACTTTGAAAAACCATACTGTGTGCTACAGAGGTGTGCAACGATTGAATGCAAATAAGAAGTCATTAAAAAATTAAGTAAGACATGTTGCTGATACATTTTTTTGTCAGGAACATGATAATCCTCTTGCCCATTCTTTAGGTTTGCTACCACAATCCTAGCAAGTCCTAAATTCACTATTTAGTCCACCTTCCTCAAACAGTAATGGTCTATACATTTTTCTCAGGGAAATGTTTGGAAAATGGAGGATGCATAACAGTGTCTGATAAACTTGAGGTGCACAAGGTGTACATCAACAATTTACATAGCTCTTTTTCTGGCCATCATGTTTTGTGTTTCACTGAAATATAAACAGTCTTAGTTATTTTGTGTTGTGTATGATTCTTATAGCAGCTTTTGCTTCCTGCTTAGTAGAAAACCTACTGTCAGAATTCATGCTGATAATTTTTGTGTGTGTGGAAATTTGTTAGCAGGAAATCCATGGCTCTGTGTGTGTTATCTATTTTGTCATTTAGCATTTCAATTTTAAAAATTCCTTTATTTACTTACTTATTTAATGAGAGAGAGAGAGAGATACAGACATCTTAATAGGACCTTAATCCCATGTTTCACCCCAGCCTTATCCAACTTGGATCACAAGCATTCATGTGTACTCAGAATATACAGAGATGCCCTAGGATGTGAACCCCAGACCTTCCCATGTGGGTCCAGCATCACAGAGCATTGCATTACCACTGTGCTACTTGATGGATCAATCATTTTAATTTTTAAACTACCTTTATAACAGCAGAGCATGTAGAACACCCATGCATTTGGATGAGATTGAACTATTGAATTACTTGGCTTATTTAAATTCTTATTTTCTAAATTTGTTCTCATTTATGATTACTATTTTTTGGAGACTTTCTGTTCCTGTTAGAATGACCTAAAGAAGTAATAAATGCTCAAAGTGTGCAAGATGTTTGCAATACATACTATGGTTGGCTTTCTGATTTACCACTGAAACAGTGCCTGGAGCACAGGGCATGCCTGTGGAAGTAGCTGTCAGAGTCTTTAGAAAGACCCAGTCAGAGGGAGAATAAAGACCTGGCTTTTTTAGTGATGTTTAAAAAATAACTTGGACCAAAAAAAAGGAAGTAGCTTTTAAGGGAACTGGAGTGGCTTAAGAAGAAATAGACAATTCATAGAGAAAAAGGATGTGAATTTGTGGTGAAAAAAATGTTTAAACTTTGTGAAGAAATAGAAATTACTATTTAAATGTGTTGTTGGCATTAATAATTATAATAAAACTAATATTTATTGAGGTCTTATGTGCCAGGCACACTTGAGCTTTCTTTACTACTCTATTAATTCATTTAATTCTCATAATAATCTTATAAGGTCGAAACTATGATTATTCCAGTTTTCAGATGAATAAAGTAAACATTAATTTCATGTAAATAAACTCTAGTGTATTTTCATAGTTTATGCCTCTGTCCCTTTTCCATTTCTCCATTCCAATAGGATTTGGGACATGCACACACACACACATATGTACCTAGCATGTTTTTTTTTTTTTTGGAGAGATTTTCACTGTAGGGCGCGTGCGCTCGCCAGACAGACAGAGAGAGACATAGAGACAGAAAGCGAGACATCACCCCCAAGGGGGGATGGTCACGCCGCAATCCCTTCTCCTCCATTCTCCTCTCGGGATCTTGGGCACGCACACACACGTGCCCAGCGTGAGTTTTAAGCCACCGGGTCCGGGACACGAACCGCGGTCGACTACGTGGGAATCCAGCAACATAGCCATTACGCTTACTGCTGGTTCCCTGTACCTAGCATGTTTTCAAGTACCTGGGGTCAGGATTTGAACCACAGTGGGCCACGTGGGATCTGGCTTTCCATGCAGAGCACTTAATTGCTGTGCTTCAGAGCCAACACAAAATACTACATTTTAATCCTCATGGTTTACCCTTTTTATTTTATGTTTTTTTATTTACACTTAATCACTGCACAGTATGATCTTCAAAGTAGGCATGCACTATGTGACAGTCAAATCATATTACCTTATACATAATTTTCAACAGAACTTTTTATCCTTCTGTTCAGTATTTCTTCCCTGAGCCCTTTCTACTTACTCTCTACTATCTCCTCCCCTTCTATCCAGTCTCTGGAATCTACAGTTGTCCTCCCTACTATTATTATATCTTCAGATCTTTCTATTTTTATCATATAGTGTAGACATTCATTATATATTAAGCAGGGATATACAATGTTTTCCTTCATAGTCTTACTTTACTTAGCATGAAGTCATCCATTTTGTATCACATTATAGGGTCTCTTATGACTGAGTAGTATTCTATAGTGTATGTGCCACATTTTTTCAATCCAGTTGTCCATTCTTTGGCACTTGTGTTGATTCCATTTCTTAGCAGTTGTGATTAATTATCAATAAACAGTCTTTCCAACTGTTTTCCTTTCCTTCTAGTAAATACCAAGGAGTGGGATTAGTAGATATATAGTAGTCTTTGTGAATTTTGAATAATGTTGCATAAACATGAATGTGCAAGGGTTTTCTCAACAGTTTTCTTATCCTTTGAGTAAATACCAAGAAGTGGGATTACTGGATATATGGTAGTGCTATTTATAGGCTTTTGAGGAACCTCTTATTGATTTCCACAGTGGCTATACTAATTTGATTTCCATCAATAGTGCAGGAGGGTTCCCTTTTAACCACAGCCTTGCCAGCATTTGTTCTTTATTTTTTTTATCATAGTCATTCTGATTGCAGTTAAGTGATTTTTTTATTTGATAAGAGATGTTTAACAGTTTTTCATATGCATTTTAGCCATTCATATAGGTTCCTTAGATAGTTGTTTATTCAGCACATTTGCCCATTTTTTTATTTGGATTATTCATTTTCTTGTGAGCTGCTTGAGTTCTCTGTATTCTGTTTGTCACTCTTTACCTTAAGCACAGTTTGCAAATATTTTTCTCCATTCTGAAAGTTGTCTCTTCACTCTAATTATTATTTCCTTGGCTAAGCAGAAGCTTTTTAGCTTGATGTAATCCCACTTGCCTATTTTGGGGATTATTGCCTGTGCTTTACGAGTATTATTTAAGAAATCTTGGGACCAGCAGATGGCATAATGGTTACATCACCGAACTCCCATGTAGTCAACCTCAGTTTGAATACTGGACCTGGTGGCTTAAAACTCACACCAGGTGTGTGTGCATGCATACATGCCTAAAATCCTGAGAGGAGAAAGGAGAATTATGGCATTGCCATCTTCCCTGGGGGGTGATTTCTCACTTTGTTTCTCTCTGTCTTCCTCTACCTCTCCAGTGAGTACACACGTCCTATAGCAAAAATCTCTCTTTTAAAAAAAAGTATGATTATTTAATTAACCTTCCTGTTCCAATGTTTTCAGGTGTATCCCTTGTGCTTTCCACCAGCAGTTTTATAGTTTGAGATTTTACATTTAGATCTTTGATCCATTTTGAGTTGGTCTTTGTTAATGGTGATAATGGTCTAGTTTCATATTTCTACAGGTAGATACCCAGTTCTTCCAGCACAATTTGTCGAAAAGACTTTTTTCTCCTCTGCATTGTTGTGCTCTTTGTCAAAAATCATTTGGTTGTATTTGGGGGTTTATTTCTCTATTATGTTTCATTAGTCTATGTTTTGTGTGTGTGTGTGTGTGTGTGTGTGTGTGTGTGTGTGTGTGTGTGTGCCAGTACCATGCTGTCTTGTTTCTCACAGCTTTGTAATATAGTTTGAGGTTGGGTAGTGAGATATCTTTTACTTTATTCTTTTTGCACACTATTGCCTTGGTGACATATGGCCTTTTATGATTCCAAACGAATGTTATGATTGTTTTTTCTCTTTCTGTGAAGAATGTAATTTGGAATTGCACTGAATTTGTCAATTAATTTGAATAGAATTGACATCTTTATTATATTGATTCTTCCTATCCAATAGCAAGAGATATATTTTCCTTTCCTTCCTTTCTTCCTTTTTCTTTTGTTCTTTTTTTCTTGTGATACCATACTCTATTTCTTTTTTCAGTTTTTCATAGTTTTCCTTGTACAGGTCTTTCACTTCTTTGGTGGTTGTATACCCGAAGTATTTATTTGTGTGCAGCTATTGTAAATGG